TGCAGTAGGTTGTTGGAGGATAGCTTTGAATCGAGCTCATTACATGTCTTGTGCCGGGACAGATGAGTGACAAGCAGGAGCAGGAGGTGAGCTGCAATTGAAGCTCCGCCTCCTGTTAGATCAGCAACTGCTTAGAACCTAATAGAAGTGCAGGCTCCTATTGGATTCTAATGCCACTGGCACAGCTGATCTAGCAGCAGCAGGGAGTGGAGGGGCGGGTGGGCGAAGCTCTGCCTCCTGTCAGATGAGCAGTGGCATTAAAACCTAATACGAGCATGCTGACAGGATGCTTGCCACTCACCTCCTGCTCACCACTCATCTGTCCCAGTGGCCCAGTCCTTCCAAGGCTACAGACTGGTACTGGTCTTTGGCCCGGGGGTTGGGGGACCCCTGCTCTAAGGAAATAAATATAGCAAATTTCTTTTGAGACCCCTAGTGTCTGTGGTCTGGGTGTCTCCCTGTCTGGGGGGCACTGTTTCCATGAAGGATTAAGTTCGTCGCTTGGACATGCTTTTGGACCCATCGCTATCAATGACATCTCAGATAGTGTCTGTGGTCTTATTTCCACCTAAAGCGATCACCCAGTTATGTCCCTACCTTGACACCGGGTCCCTCACCATGTTGGTCCATGTGCTGCTAGTCTCGAGATTAGACTACTGCAATGCCCTCTACATGGGGCTGTCCTTGGGACTGTTACAGAGACTGCAACGGGTCCAGAATGCAACAGCCAGACTTCTGAACAGGCTTAGAAAATACCAACATATCTCTCCCACCCTAGTTCCATTACACTTGCTACCTGTTTGCTTCCGTACCAGTGTCAAGGTGATGGTACTAACCTATAAGGCCTTAAACAGTTTGCAACCTTGATATCTGGCCGAGCGCCTCCTTCGAGTTAGGTCTGTCTGTCCTACAAGATCATTGCAGGCAGGGCGGCTGAGAGTTGACCCCGAGAGAGGCCTAGAAAACAACCACTAGAAATCAGGCCTTCTCGGTGGTAGCACCACAATTATGGAACTCTCTTCCACCTGAAGTCTGCCTGTCCCCTTCACTGGGCACATTCAAAAAGCTATTAAAACCTGGCTATTTAGGCAGGCCTTCCCTGAACAAACAACACCCTAATACAATAGTGTATGATAATATAACATCTATCATACTTTCATGCTCCATGTTTTTATATTTCTCTACACTTTTAATTGTATATATTGTATTGTAATTTTAGCTTCACTGCACTTCATGACTTTTGATTTGTGTCCCTAATATATTGATGTTGTTATTTGTTATTTTGCTACTTTGTTGTTTTGTGTTACTTGTTGTAAACCACCGAGAGTGGTCTTGGCTGCCAAATGGGTGGTGTGTGTGTGTGTGTGTGTGTGTGTGTGTATGTAAACACACATGTATATGTATGTGTACACACACACACACACAAACATACACAACTCTGTCTCCTAGAATATTTTGCCACTGCCTTTAAAGCAGACAATGTGAAGCAATGGCAGTTCAAAGTGACAGTAGCATGAGAGACTGCTGAGTTACAATCAGAGCTCTACATGAGTCCCTTGATTCAATTAGGAGGCTAATTCAGGGCTTTGTAATATATCCTGATTCAGTCTGGAACAATTTTGGCCCCATTGGATTTCATTTCTGCCCTGTACATCCATAAAACTTTCACAGCAGATATATTTGGTATGGAAAACCAAGGCAGATACCCTTTTTGTTTTTCCACTGATGATGCCAAAAATAGTGATATGTAATGGACAAGCATCGGAACAATATTTTAGATCTCAAACCTAAAAAAATTACTCTTTCATTAATTCTTTATTGTCTCCAAACCTGCCAGAACATCCTGGAGCAGCAACATCCAAGTAGGATAATCAAACCAAATTCATGGCACATGTGTTGAGACAGATGCAGCAAGCCACACATCATCCTCAGGAACAGATTTCCAGTACCTGTTCTGGACAGAAAATCAATGCTGTGAAAACCAGCCTGAAATGGTGATTCCCAAGTAGAGCAGCTCAACAAAATTCATCTATCCCCTTCAGTCTGAGAGGTGTTTTTTTTTTTAATGGATGGCTCTGTTGTTTTTAAATGTGTTTCTAGTATTGATTTTATTCACCATTTTTAATATTATAGTTGTTTAACTCTTTTTAAATATTTGTATATTTACAGTTTTTAGCTTTAAATATTGTTTTTCTAATGATGTAGGCCGCTTTAGCTCCTTTTAAGGAGAAAGGTGGGACAAAACTATTTTAAATACATAAATAATAAATAAAACTAGAGGAGACAGATGCAGCTCGCCCCCAAATGTCCCTAGTACCTGTTCTGAGCATAAAGTCCATACTGCTTCTGAGTAGGATAGCTCAATGAAAATTAGCTGTCAAAGAAATAAAATAAGACAAAGTATAAACAGCTGGAAGGCACAGAACAACAACATACATCCTCTTGGTCTTCTCTTCTCCAGGCTAAACCAAACTGATGGGGCCTGGGAAGACTGGCAGAGAGCATACAGCCACAACCTTGTTTTCTGTGTGCAGCCATGGTTCCCATGGAAATTCAGTGGTTTGATGTACAGTATTACTCCCATCCAGTCATATATGACTGCTGAATTGATTGTTGTCACCAGACCGGAACCTGCTGTTCATGGGACTTTTTGACAATGTGAAAGTTAGACCCAGAACGTGATTCCTAGAGCTATATTTTGGCTGGTTGCATTTGCCGCCTCTTCTGCCATAGGAATGAATTTTGGCATGCTGCCCTACTTGGAAACTGCCCTACTTGGAAAGTCCGGTCTGTCTTGCATAATTTTGGTTTCCTGCCTGTCAAGTCCTTCCTAATGATGACTTGCACATTATTAGACCGTTCCCCTCTCATCTGATATGACCTGCAAAAAAGTTTCCATACATTTATCCCCCATTCTGGTATCTGCCACTGACAAATTCTGAATGGCACTGGAGAAAATGCTAAAAGGCATAATGCTCTTCTGTGATCCCCTTTAGTTTCAGTGAGGTCTTCATGTGGTTGCTTGTATGGTTCCTGTTGAAATCAATGGCACTTCTGTAACAAAATGTCTCTGTGTTTGTGTGTGTCTGTATGTGTGTATGTTTAAAAACTTCTCCAATTAGGCTCAGTTATTCCACTTGCCAGTTAAGATGTTAAGAATTTTGCATGAGGAGGATCCTAAATATGGTTTAATAAAATATTTTGCTAGTGTTCATCAACAGACTTCAGTTTCTTGTGACACGAGAATGGGGAAGATGAAAAATAAAAAAAAATTAAAAAAGGAAAAGAAAAGAAGAAAAAAGGACTACTTACAGAAATATTTCAAAAACAGTGCAATATTAAAACAATTTTCACACTTTGTGAAAGAGGAACATGCTTTGGAACCTGAGCAAACGGCTTCTTTACCGATACAGCAAAAAGCCACCCTGTATGTTGTTTTCACTGGCATCAATTGCTGCCAGGTTAGTATGTTGCTCGTAGCAACTGACATGGCCCCTAAATATTTAGTATGTGGAAACGGCCAACTACTTAGAGAGGTCAACTAAATCCCAGCTATAATATTGCAGGCAGTTTTACATGCTGCTACTGGAAATGCCTGAAAGGCCTAAAATTAAGCTTTTTTTCAGAAAAAGAAAAAAAAAGAGCTTGGAAGTAGTTCATTAAATTTAATCTGTTAACCCTAATTTGTAATTAATAATCCAGTGATTTTTAAAATGATTATTTTATTCCTTAAAATGACAACAAATTTTACGAGTTGAGCAATGATTAGCACTTCATATTACTTTAATTAACTTCCTTTGGGAATCGATTGGTATTTTTCTTTTTATAACTTAAAAGTAACATGTTACTAACACACTACTAATTAACCTGATGAATTAATTTAAGAGTTTTCCCTGCAACAGTTAACATCAACAAATTAATTTTGGATTTAATGTCAATGCTAACATTTTACTGTTAATGCCAACATTTCCAAGCTCTGGGAAAAAAAGAAAAGAAAAGCAGCCAACATAACAATGCCTTTTTAACCAGACAAAAGCGCCACCACAACATTTAGTTTGTACGTTACTACACTGGCTTACAATCTTGAGGTCAGCTCTTTCAAAATAAATATACTGAACATTTACAACAAAATGCCTCATGAATGCAAACTCTCTTTATTATTTCAAGACCAGCTGGATCAAAAACCTAAGGTGATGTATTTTCCAAAGCAGCTAAAAGTTACAAGTCCTCCCCCCCCCTCGACCCCTAAGAGATTGGCATGGTTGGGTGCTGCTGCAAAACATTTTAATAAGCAATAATATAATCCATCTGCGAGAACAAGCATTAAAAAAATAATAAAGTGTTTGGCACCCAACAGGCCACCATACCAAGCAAATTCACATAGCATGCGGTCATATAGTTTGCTGACTTCTGACTGTGTGAAATGATCATTGTGCTTGCAGGTCCCAGACCTTTAAATAAAAAAGATCTATATTAACAATTACAGGTTGAACATATTAATAGGAACTTGGTTCTAATTACTTGAAAGGAAATAAAGATTAACAAAACAAAATAATGCCACAAACAAGGAATTTGCAGAGGAAGTAATAAAAAAAGAGTCAACCCAATACCAAACTATATGTTGAGAATTCAGACTGCTTAAAATATTCTCTTAAAATGGTGAGAACAAATGGGAGAATTCCCCCACAAAACAATCCAACCAATACTATGTCCACAGATGGTTTGGTAGCAATGAGATGTAAGCTTGCCACTTAAAAGGCACAACAAGACCAGTCTGATAAAATGTTATCCTCACAGCAGAACAGGAATGTTTCAATGGCGTAATCACAAGGGGTGGATGATGAGCCATCAACTTCTCTCGTCATGAGCACAGGAAGCAGTCACCAAGGCATAAAGAGGGACACAGGAAGGAAGGTACAGAAATTCACAAGGATCTGTGAAAGACATAACAATGAATAAATGAAACGCACAATGCAACATTTCCAGAACAAAGTTACAGCTTAGGGAAAACACTGGATATGTCAAACGTAGCCTGTGTTTTCCCTTATTACAACAGGTAGCAAATTCACTTCATATTTGGCGTAAGATTTCACGGAGTGCAGCCCACATTTTCACAACCAGATGAAAGAGGACTGCAGTCTATGAAGTATTCTGCCAAATAAAACTTGTGAGTCTTTTAAGGTTGCCCAAGATTCTTTGTTAATTATGTTGCAACAGACTACAGGCTAACATGCCTTTTCTGTTATGTGCTATCATCTCACTTACAACTTATAATAAATTAGTGATGTTCTAAAGGTCCTGTCATTAACAGCCCTGCTCAGGTCTTGCAAACTTTTTTCTAGTTCTGTTATGGCTGCCTTTGAACATCCAGCCTAATGTTCAAGCTGATTCAGAAAAGAAAGAGACACGAGAGATCATATTACAAATACAGGTTGGCTAATGGAATGTAATTCAGAAAAAAATCAGTCTATGCTTTATAGATTATAGCAAAACCTTTGGCTGTATGATCATAAAAAGAAATTGGTGCGCCACAACATTTTATTCCCCTGAAGTGTAACCCGTATGCTACACAAGAAGCTATTGTTACAATATAGAGGAACAGGGTGTTTTTTTCTACAGGCAAAGGTAATGCAATCCTCCATATCTGCAGGATAGATGTCCGTGGTTTTGCTTATCCGTAGTTTACCACAGCCCTATATACAGGTTCCCTCTATTGCAGTTCCAGGCATCCATGGCAGATCGTGGAACTGATCCCCTGCAGATACGAAGGTTCTATTTTACACAAAAAACAAAGCTGTATTTTACCTCCCTGTCTGAACAAATTGTATACAAAATGAATCATGTAGAAAGTGGATTAGGTTCAAATGAAGGAGAAGTAAGAACTAATGGAAGAAACATCAATAATTAAAGATACGAAGATGACAACGTATTACTGGCACAAAGCAGTGATGACTTGAAACACATCCTGATAAACTGAAAGGCTAAAGTGCAAAAGCAGAACTGCTGCTGAACACTGACACAAAAATTATGTCTACAGAATAATTACACAACTCTATTGTTGACAATGAACAATTTGAACTGCTTTTCTATACCACAGCTCAGTCATCAACCCAAATGGAGATGACAACCAAGAAATCTGAGGATGTCCAACATGGCTACCATATTGGGTCAATTTCTAATTACAGTGGACCCTCTACTTACGGAATTAATCCGTATTAGAATGGTGGCTGCAAGTCTAAAAGTCTGTAGGTCGAATCTCCATTGACCTACAATGCATTGAAAACCGATTAATCCTATAATTGGCAGTTTTTATTCTATTTTTGTTCCATTTTGGTTTTTTTCTGGTCTGTAAGTCGATTCTCCGGCTGCAAGTCAAATCTAAATTTTGCCGCCAGAGAAGTCTGTAACTCGAAAAGTCTGTAAGTCGAGCCGTCTGTAAGTCGAGGGTCCACTGTAATCACTATGTAACGTTTGCTGCTCTCAACATGTTGACATGAACTACCTCAGCCAGAGAGCCTACTCTTCTATATGGACATTGTACATCCAGGCAGTACCAGCTAACACAGTGATCAGCTAGCATGATCAGGTCAACATTGCTTCCTTTTCTTAACATGGTCATCATGTATCCTAGAGATTAGCTGAGTGACCGTCTGAAGCATCACTGCCTTGCATGATGACAAGTGCCTTGTAAATGTCTCTCAGCATAGCCAAGTGGACCCATCAGTCATTCTTTTTTCCTTTGGTGGTTCTATTTTCCTTATGACCTCGGCAAAACATGACCATTTAGTGAACTAAAAATTACACTGAAAGTCTCAGCATTACAGTGAGGGCACCAAACAAGGATGGATGGCACAATTTAAAAGACCACCCCCAATCCCTGTAAAAGCACTCATAGATTTCAACGTCCTTCATGGGAGGGGTCTGGGCCTTCTGCTCCTAAATGTTTCTTGCTTATACAGTGCTTGTTGATCCTGTTTTGGTTAGCTCCTTTTAAAGGTGAAATCACTGAAGACTGAAATATCTGGTCAGGGCTCTAAGACACACCCCAATACAGGACTTAGCCAGAAGATTTTCATTAACTTATTTTTTTCCCCCTTATAAATTGTGATTCTGGCCCAGAGGATCTCCTCCAAGGACCTCTGCCCATCGCCATGATTGCCAGCTTTTCCAGTTCAGCAAGTGCTGTCCTGTGTCTTTCCTGTCCCCACTGGGCAGAGGTGGTAGACAACAGAACTTACAGACCTTGTAATACTCACTGGAAATGGGTCCCACAGTTATCCTGCCTTTGTATCTACGAGTTGCATTTGAACATTTGCAGACATGCCTCCTCCATAGCCTCCTTTGGACTGCATTTGGTTCTGAATTGAACTCACCTAGACACAGAGGAATAGAGTGAAAAAGAGTCAGTTGTGAACTGATGCTTCTCAAGTTCATTACGTCATAGCAAGATCACTAGATCTATATTACAGATTTACTGTAATAGTGTGTTCCCTGCTTTAAGTTATCAGTTTAATATTTCTACTGCTCAAACCTAATTCATTTTAACAAGACTGATAAAATTGTTTACAATGCCAGTGCTGTCCTCCAAGATTATTTACTATAACCTGCCAAATCACAGTAGAAAAGGGTTGCTGCAGATGTGTTCCCTGCTTTAAGTTAATCAGTTTAATATTTCCACTCCTCAAACCTAATTCATTTTCACAAGACTGATAAAATCGTTTACAATGCCAGTGCTGTCCTCCAAGATATCTTCAGAAATGCATGTACACAGAGTATAGAGTTAACAAGCACACATTACCAGTAAAGACATGACCTGTAGTAATGCATTATGTTTCAGGATAATGAGGCATATTTTTCCAAAAACAACTGTGGTAGATTGCTGTTGATAATATTGTTAATTTATTAGTTTAAGTAATAACACTAACTTTTAGTTCTAAAAGCATGCTTCAAAAAGTCATTTCTGACTGATTGCCATTTTACTCTCTTCACAACAAGCAGTGCTAACAAGTGACTTTGTTTCACACAGGGGCAGTGATGGCGAACTTATGGCACACGTGCCACATCTGGCACGCGAAGCCCTTCTGGCATTCTAGTGAGTGGCCCACTCACCCCCCTTTGGAAACAAACCTTTTGAAGTGGCTGCAGCTGGGATTCCCCCTTTCTCTTCCTGTTCTGGGTCCTTTAACTTCCTGTCCATCCCCATGATTCCCCCTTTAACTTCCTGTCCGTCCCCATGATCCCCCCTGAAACTGCCACTTCCTGTTCCGGTTCTGGTCTTCCGGGCGGCACGGCAGCCACTGGTTTCTTCCCCACCCCCTCATTTTGGGCACTTGAGCCAAAAAAGGTTTGCCTCCACTGACACAGGGAATGAGAAAGGGGAAAAAAACCCCAGCTCTGCACGTACACTACTTGATGTCTTCAGTCCCCTTCATGCCTCACTTAAACGAAAAGGAGCTTGACACAATTAAAACTCACTTCCTAAGTCTCCACTTACTAAGGTCGTGCAGGTATTCTGTCAGGTATGAGCATCTGCAATAGAAAAAGCTGTGCCAATGGATCTCTATGTACCTAGGCTTCTTTGAGACCTAGAACCCTGAAAAATCAGGGTTACCTTTTCCAAGAAGTCTATCATATCGTCATCAGACCTGAGAAGCTGCTTTATTTCAGGGATATGGCCTATGTTGTAGCGATGTGACAAGTATTCGCTTAATTTTTTGTTCTCTGCAGTTTTCTGAATCTTGTTGTGAGGATACGGTATTTCCAGCTGAGACTTCACTCTGCATCAACAAGATTCCTCAGCTTTCCATAGAAATGAGACTCTATCTGCATTCCCTCTTCCTTTTCGGTTTTTCACTCTTTGTTCCATGCAGGGAAACTGACAAATTTGGTGCGGCTTAATGTTCTTTCCTGTGAATTCTGCACGGCAAACATGCCATCTGCTTAGGGGCTATAGCAATCCTGAGGAAATTGGTCCTTGCTCCTTCTGCCCTCACCAGATAAATCCTGTGAGATGCTGTTCTGCACAGAACTGTAACAATACCTTGCAGTTTGACACTTCCTCCAGAAAAAAATGACCATGAAACTTCTGATAAACTTGGCAACATTTCCTATGAGACTTGTTGAGGAAAATAAACATTAAAAAAAAACAACTGCATGTGAAGAATCATCTTGCTGTAAGAAGAAAAGAGGGTTTCCCCCCTCAGTTTCTATCCAAAGGCAAGGGGCTATGATATTCATGTTTCCACATGGTGTGGCCCATTGATTCCATGAACACCCCTTCATGTGAGTAATGGATAAAGAGGGCTTTCTTTGCTAATAGCTGCTGTGTGGATGTTCTTTGCTGAAAAATACTGTTTGGGGGTTACATTAGATGGTGTGCATGGTTTTGTCTGTGATGGCTATAAATCATTGGCTGATGACACAACCTGTGAATGTGCGTATGTGGAGTCAAAAACACAGATTTTCTTTTAAATAAGCAACTAATGCTTCACTATGGAAGAATCTCTAAAACAGTCTTACACCATTTATTTGCAATGGGTGTGTACAAAAACTTCAACAATTATAAAAGAACATGAACTAATTGACTCCCTGAACAGAGAACAAAGACTCTGAATTCAGAAAATATAAATAAATATGGTAAAAGTAGTCTGGTGGTACCGATTTGTTCTCCAACTGATCCGCACCCAACAGGGGACCAAGTTAAATGGAAGACAAATGTATCAGTTCTGCTGAGTAAAATAAATACTTCTAGGGTCAAGTAAATAAAAACATACAAAAGTTTTGCAACTTTTATCCATAAAAGTCTGGCAAAATTACATTTCTCAGTGGGATTTGCAAACCATGAATTAAATCAAGTCACATCTTGTGCTGCTGTAAGAATGACAAACTGTAAGATTAAAGATGAAACTGTAAACTTCATCTCTGTTATGTCAGGAAGATGCAGAAAAGCTGAATCATAATTCCTTTGTTATGACCATAATAATACTGCCCATGGGAAAACATATACATTTACGGTGGTACCTCGCAAGACGATTACCCCGCAAAACGGTTTTTAAGCTAGACGTTGACTTTTTGCGATCGCTATAGTGATTCGTAAAACGGTTTTTCTTATGAGTGATTTTGCTGGATGATGATTTGGTCCGTGCTTCGCAGACTGTTTTTTCGCAAGACGACGATTTTGACAGCTGATTGGCGGCTTCGCAAAGTGGCTTCCCTATGGGCGATCTTCACAAAACGGGTGTTTTCAGGACCAATGCTTCGCAAGACAGCGATTTGAACAGCTGATTGGTGCTGCACAAAATGGCTTCCCTATGGGCAATTTTCGCTGGACGATGACTATTTCCCCCCATTGGAACGCATTAAACGGATTTCAATACATTCCAATGGGGAAACGCTTTTCGCTAGACGATGTTTTCACAAGACAGCACTCTCCTTTTCCTATCATACAGTTAAGACAGGGACTATCTTGAAAGGGCGCTTGGACTAAGTTACGGTCTGAATGACTAATAAACTGAGACTCAATTCAAGCAAGGTGTGCATGCTGCCAGTAGGGGGTTCATATCCCTAATTTAGTGGTGCTCAGCCTTTTCTAGTTGTGACTGCATTTGCCTGGAAGAATCAATTTGTTAGATTGTGGCATTCACAGCCTCAGCTTTGTCACTTGGTATGTAACAAATTATATGAACAAATATATATGTAAATCCTGCCTAATGCTTTATGAATATTTTCCAATATGTTTCCAAGGGTAGCACAATAAAACAGAATACTAGAGTCCAACTGTAAATTTATTATTTCTGTCCTAAGTGTATGTGCACATGTCTTTGTGCTCTCTCTTTTATCTAGCAGTTACATGCAAATGAACCTTTTGATCTTTGGACCCAAGGGTATGCAAGTCTCTGAGCTACTCAGTCAGTCTACAGGCAAGACAGCTCAACTAATTCCTCTCACGAAAATACTCAACATATAAAAAATAAAATACATGATAAATATATAATTCTAATAGAATAGGATTCTAGGTTTTATTGTTGTTTCTAGTGCTATATTACAGAGAAAATGTTCTTAGAAGGTAACTAAACTATGCACCTCACATTGGTTTCCTTCCTCTACTTTGAAAAAATACTCACTGTTTAATTTGTCTATCTTACAGGCATTTGAATGAATCATATACAGTATATGAGTCTTTTAAAATTACAAGTGCATTCATAACTTTTTATAGAGCACACAAAGACTGCAGTTTATATACTCTTAGCCTGGAATACACCACAATGAATTCAACAACACACACAGAGAACTGAGTTGTAACTGTATTAGGTATTTATTGTGACAAACCCAGACCTACTGGGATCTGCCACACGGTTACACTAAGCTGCCACCAACCATTCCCTGTAAGAAGTCACACAGACCAGGGATGGATTTTTAAACAATAAAAAGAATAAGGTTTATTTAAATACAAACAGGGTAAATAAAACTATCAGGTGAATAGATAAAGTAACGTGGCTTATTTCACTCATACATACACACAGTTTGGTTCACCCAGAACCTTAACTTAAAGCACAGACCCTGAACCTATCAGTTCTGGCTAACCCACAGACACCTGAACCTATCAGGTTGGTACTCTGACACACAGTAGTACCCTGTCTGACACACAGACTCCCACACCAACTCCTTCTTCCCAGCTGCTGCTTCGTCTGCTCAGCTTCTCATCAGTGTGAGTTTCACCACACAGGCATCACATATTTATATAGTACAGCCCCTCCTCCTGATGTCCCGCCTTCCACTCCCCATAGGATGGAACTTTCCCTCCAAACCCATGACAGACAGGTAACATCAGTGCTGTATGTAACATTTATTTTCTAGTTGCCCCTGAGTAAGAGTTATTTGATTAGAAATGTGTTAGGTCTCAATAAACTGATGGACTCATCTGTACCTTTGTAGATTGTTTTTTTCTTCCTTTCCAGTTCTGATGTATTATTTCCTTTCTCTGTGTTATATGTAAATTGGTTTGTTTTTCAGTTCAAGAGCTGTATAATTGCATAGCCCAAAGGCACTGAACCTAATTTAGTATGCTCCATAAAAAAAACTCTGGATGATTTATAGCATGAACAAATAAATTCATTTTACTTTTAAAAAATGCAGCATCTACATCTTTACAAAAAGTCATAAATATTTTTTTCACTTTCCTTTAATATTTGGGATAAAGTAGGATATGAATTCAACAACTTAATTCTCTAAAATACTGATTCCCCCCCCCCCCAAAGCTTCTTGGCAAACACACTCACCGAATTCATTCCACTAAAGAGATCTCCAGAACCTACATGAGCCGTATGAACAAAGTTTGTTGGCTCACCAATCATACTCCGATCAATCCGTCGCCGTCTTTTCTGAAAGGTTGAGAAATAAGAAACATGTTTAATTAAAAGGAAAAAAATAGTATTTAATCTGAAACATGGATCAGCTATTTGGCAAAATAACTGGAAAATTATTACTAAATACTGTCCGAAACTTGGGTACATTTTTACTTCAGAACCCAAATTCTTCATTAAAACACTTAATCAAAATTTAAATATTAAATACCTGCGCAACTTAATGGCCCAAACCCTAAATGCCTAGTGCAGCAAACCACACAAGACTGTGCCTACTGAATCAATGGAAATTTAGTGTGTTGATTTTTCTATAAATTCCATTGATTCAAATGGGTTCACTCAACAGAATTTATGGAAGAGTTGACTCACTAAATCCCCACTGATTCCATGGGCCTCTTCTAGCGCAGTTTACTACACTAAGCAACAGAATTTTGGCCATTGTATCTTTAAGCAAGTAATACTGCTCACATGTGATCTCTGAATCTTACTAGGTATGTTTCAGTGATACAAATTCAGAAGAAGTGCTCACATATTTCAAATCAGGTTTGGGTAGCTGACCTCTGTCTGGTCCATGATTTGTAATTTTCAAAACATTTTAGTGACTATGAGTGTGTGTTAAAGAGAGGTTTGCAAAAGCTGTAGCACACAGTAGTCCATTAAGATGCCATTTACATCTTTTCTGAATCTGAATGAAGAGTTCTGTCTGCTTGCCTCTTCCCCTTTTGTTTTCAGGATGCATCCTTGCTACTTTCCAAAGCAGCAACAAAATAAAGTCTTTGGCAATCTAGCACGTGGTGTGCTTTAAAAGAAGAACAAAAATGCAATTGTGTGTCTGGGAAATAGCTGCTGTGTGGACATTTTCAGTTTGTTTTTACTATATTAATTGTAATTCCTTGATAAAGCATTCTAATTACTACAAGTTTGGTTATCACTTATTGTACCTGATCCATTTGAATCAATTAACAGCTTGTATTTTCTTATACTATGAAGAAGCATAACATATTAGAACCTGAGTTTTCACAGAATGTAGAATGATCTGCTTCTTGATTTTTCCTAAGGTAGAACCATCTCAGTGGCAAGCACAAAATGCAGCCCCCCAATGATGTGGGCACCTTTTGACTTAACACAGCTGGGATATCTTTTCCAGGTCAAGACTCTCTTCTCAAAATGTCTGTGCAGCAAAAGAAAATTACAATATTGCAATATCTGTCCCATTATCATCTAAGCAGAAGCAAAAGTCCGCATCTCCTCTGAATAACATAATGCTGGGCATGATGTTTTAACAAAAGAGAGCATAAAAAAGAAATTAAACCTTACACAATTGCCCTGCAGAGGTTTCTTGACCCCACCTCACCAGCCCTATAAACATATTCTCCCCCACATATTTTAAGGAGATCAGCATCCTCCTCACGTTATGGGCCAAGATGGTAAGACCACCTAGAGTACTCAGTGGAAGTTTATGCATCTGATCAGCAGGATTTCTGCTGTCCAAACACTGTCGCAGTTGAGTCATTGCAAATCAAAGACACAGCTGGGAATACATCATAGCCCATAGCCCATAAAAGAAAGATATGTTTGGAATGAACTCAAGCCTTCAACAGACGTGTCCTTTCTTACAGACCCCCTGCTTCTTCCACATAACTAACACACCAGGACTGCTGAACTCTTGCTACAGAAATGTTAAGTTTAAAAAAACATGCCAGACGACAAGAATGAAAAAGGGTGGCACAATAATCCTTAACATATGTACTTGGAAAAGGTTCTCATCAAAAGTTCAAACCCTAGCAACTGCCGTAGAATGAATAGTTAAAAAAATCTGTTATCAACTAAGATAAGGCAAAGAAGACTGGCATATTGAAAATGTCATAGTACTATGTCCAAAATCCTCTGGGTAGTAAATCACACTAGAATAGGCTCACTCAATCATCAGGGATTTAGTGAGTCAACTCCTCTGGAAGTGCCATTGATTCAAATTGGCCTACTCTAACTGATGTACTTTAGGCTAAATTGCTGTTAGAACTTACAAAAGAATCGACTCACTAAGTCTACCTTGATTCAATGAAACTATTCTAGTGGAACATTATGCAACATAATTTTGACTTGTGAGTATGGATGGCTAGACAACAAAGCAAATATACTGAGCATAGCTGACAACACATCAGGCATCTTTTCTTTCTGACTCAGACACTTGGAGGGGGAATCAGATTGGGATGGTTCAAGAGATTCCTACAGTATAGGATGCAAATGAACATCAAATCTTGCTCTTGTAACATCTGTATTTAAGACCACAATTGGAGGGTCAAAAATCCCTTGACCTGTCTCCAGCAATAAACCAATCAAATTAGAAAGGAAGGAAGCTGTTTTCTAATTTGGCTTGGTGAATATCATAGATGGCCACCTTATGCTGAGTCATGCCATTTGTTTAGCTACTTCAGTCTTTTTCACAATGACAAGGTTTCAGACAGGAGCCTTCCTCAGCCTTAGTGTGAGATTTTAGGATTAGAAACTAGGACCTCCCGCACCAAAGTCCTTTTCTCCATCACTGGTCAGCATGTTACAGACATATTAGAAGAATCATTTCTAGTAGCATATGCTGTTCTGTTTCTCTGAAGAACCTATATATATATATATATAGTTTAACAGTAGATATGGTTAATAGTGTACACACACACGCTATATATATACATATATATGTGTGTGTATATGTATATGTATATATATAGCGTGTGTGTGTACACTATTAACCATATCTACTGTTAAACTATATATATATATATATATATATATATATATATATATATATATATATATATATATATATATATATATATATGTATGCATGCATGCATATGTATGTGTGTGTGTGTATGTGTATACACACTGTTAACCATATATACCGTTAACCACTGACTGTTATTCCCAAACAAGTTACATGCTACAAAAATACAGCATTATGCATTTTTAAAAATGCAAAACTAAAAATATTCCTTGTACCTATCTTAGTTGGTTCAGTACTTACAACAAATGAGGACTAGTGGCTTTTATGAATCTCATAAATGAGATTATTTCAGCATCAGTGTGATGAGCACTGCCATTTGCTCAACATGGAGGGAACCTGAAGAAGGGCTGGCAATGCTACATTTAACTTCCCTTTAACATTTTCCTCTCTCTTCAACCAGTACAACCCTGTCAGGACAGGAATGTCATTCCTTCAACCAATTGGGAAAAGTGAAAAGTCACACACTCCTCCCAAAATTTATTTTTACAACAAGACCATGTTGAGAATATTTTTCTCTGCACATTCAGGAGATGAACTTTTGGATGCTCCAGTTACTATGACAACTGCTCAGGCATTAACTGAAGTTGTTCCTGTTTTAAAGCTGCTAAGCACAAACTTTACACCCACACAGAACATTACTAGAATACGCATTGGTTCTGGCATGCATATTTTTTCCAATGTGCATCCACATCCTTTTTGACTCCTACATGCTTTCCTTTCTTCTTCAGGACAACTTTATACAAGACGAATTTCCTATGAAGATCTCTCAACTCTGCAGGATGCTGCATGAACAATGCATGCATGACATCCTTTCTTCCCTACAAGCAGAACCCATATATGAAATTAATCATATGTGGAGCAGCTCTCTGTGTAGTACTGCAGTCTGATTTTATATTTTAAAAGCTATAGAGAAAACTCAATGCAAAATCTAATACTTATTCATAAACTCAATTAAAAACAAAATATATTTTAGAATCCACCACTTATCAGTGTGCCAAAGTTAGGTAAACAATATCATGTCAAAGCTACCCCTGGCCTGGTAGCTAGTGCAAAAGAAACAACAACAAAAAACAGTCAAAGGAGATTCAAACATTTCCCTCTCTGCATTTTAAATCATCAACAGCCACAAATATAAGTCTGGTTTAATTATAACTAACTTTCAAGGGATTATGATTGGAGGCTGAATTATTTCTCCAATTAGCAGCACTGAAGCTTTCACATAACTTTGGCATGAACTTCTCTTTGTATATGTGCTTTTACTTGCCTAGTTTAGTCTTGTGAGTCCTAATACAATTCTTGATCATTCACACAACTATTCAAACAAGCCCCCAAATTTCTTTTCTCTTTCCCTCATCTGCTGCTATAAAAATAGGTGGATTTGTCAATAGCACCACCTCCAACAAAAACAACTCTGGTTGCCACTGCTGCAAACACAGTAGCAACACACTGGCAGATGATTATTTAAGTAAAAAGTTAACTTCTATAGAAGCAGAAGACAAGGCATAGCATTCCTCTTTTCCATACGGTGCTTGGAAAGATTGAGAGCCAGCTAAAGCTGCGTTAAATCTATCCCTTCTAGTCTATGAATCACTCTGCCCCACTCCTTCTCTCTCTCTCTCTCTCTCTCGTTCCATATGGTGCTTGGAAAGATTAAGAGCCAGCTAAAGCTGTGTTAAATCTATCCCTTCTAGTCTATGAATGTGGAAATAACACTACCTTATTTAGAGCTAGCTTTGTGTTGGGACAGTGGCTGTGTCCATGGGTTAGAGAAGACTGGGCCTGACATCTCTCTCTCTCTCTCTCTCTCTCTCGGCACTTCTGCCGGCAGATCTCTGAGATCAGTCGACACAAGGCGGTTCTCCATTGCCCATTCCAAACCCACTGCAGATGGTACATCTCTAAATTTGGGTTGTAATATTAAACAAGTATAAAAGTCATTCCTGCTTCTTGGGCAACACTGGAAAACTTGGAGGACAAGATACCCTCCCCCCAATTTTTTTCGAGAAAGCCGTAATAGTTTGCCGGCAGATCTCTGAGATCAGTCGACACAAGGCGGTTCTCCATTGCCCATTCCAAACCCACTGCAGATGGTACATCTCTAAATTTGGGTTGTAATATTAAACAAGTATAAAAGTCATTCCTGCTTCTTGGGCAACACTGGAAAACTTGGAGGACAAGATACCCTCCCCCCAATTTTTTTCGAGAAAGCCGTAATAGTTAAAGTACAACATGGCTGATG